TACTTGTGCGACAAGCCGAGCTAAAATTGTATAAATTTTATATTTTTAAAATTATATACACTAACGTTTTTGGCATGGAATAAAAAAAGTATTCGTGCCCAAGTCTGACAACTACTGCATTTTTTTCTCCACACACATACGCAACTCCAAATAATTCTGCTTCGAAGGTAGCTATTTGCTCAGCGCCTGCAATGACGTTTTGTTCGGAAAGATCCGCGATCCCACTCGAGTTCGCCACGAGCAGGGCTAGCGTCTTTATGTAATCGACGTACTTGTAATGGAATGTTCTTGCCTGTTGCTGGTGTTTCTGCTGCGACATGAGTAGTCCTCTAATGCTTGTCGTCTTTGGTTGGCGCAGCTGTAGGGTTTTACAGTGAAGATAAACCATTGATAATTTTTTAATACTTTTCTGTTGATGCAACGGTAGTAATTTCGGATGTATTTTTACCATTAATTTATTCAAATAGAAAATCAGTTTCAACAAATTAGCTAATCGTGAGAAATTTTTTCAAATTTAAAGATACATTGTTCCATGCCATAATAGAACGAAAAAATTTTTTTAGAGTTTTCAAAAGTNAAAGGAGAAAAATCTTTGATTGAAATTTAATAACAATTTAAAAATTTACATAAAAACATGAGACATTTCGATACTTGCACGTTGTATCAATAAATAAAAAAGGAATAAATCTGAAAAAATTGATCTCTTGTGCGTTTGCTTAAAATTAATAAATTATATACCGTACCTATATACTTACGTATAAATTCCGCTCTGAATTAAGTGGGTGAGAAATATAATACTTGTCGTACTGGTTCATAAAGCACTCGTGCTTGCTCCAGTATTTCAGCCTTGTTTGCTCGGAGTATAAATGTCTGCGTGGCCTCTCGATTCCAATGGAGTCTGATTAATAAAAAAAAACAATATTACACCTCTCCCTTAGCTTAATTTTTCAACAATCAGTACATACATCACACGTATTTTATTTTAAAAAAACTCGTTGTACCTGCATCATTGAAAGCATGCATTATTTCATAAGCGATGACAAAACCCAATATCCCATACTTCTTGTATCTTGAAATCGAAAGCAAAAACATTTATGTGCATACACATTTTGGCTTTTGTATTATTATTGAAATGTTAGGGTGTAGCGATGATTTAACAAAAGTGGCTTTGTATAAGCGTGTTATTGTAAGACTTGTATATATTGGGATTTCCTTACTCTGGATAGGCTGGATCGAACAACGGGGCCACAAGATTTTCCACTTTGATTACTGAAATTAATTTTTTTTTTTTTTTTTTACTTTATCCACTTGTAGATCGATTGGATTATTTATTAGGATATATTTGAATTTCTTACGAACGCGATTTTCAAAAAACTCGTAGGCCGAACCAATACTGCTTATGGTTGTGATTTTAAAGAAATTTTTATTTGACCTAAAATGGGTGAATAACAACTTCAAAGTTACATCATTGAAATTCATTAGAAAAAAAAGTAAAAATTAAAATAAATTACTAAATTCATACGTTGGTACATAGTGAGGTGTTTTTATGACTTCGAATTCCTTCATTTTGTAAAAATGTCGCAAAATTAATAAATTCTCGAAATAATCTTCAGATATTGATAGCTAAAACAATAAAAATAAGGCTCTTCAATAAATTTAATGTACTCTTTATTATACATTTGTACCTCTTTGTAGTAGTCACTTATTACTGAAAAATTTTTCAAAGATTCCGGAATGCCCAGGACAAAATTCATGGCAGAGACTTTATTTTCTGCTCGTAATTTTTCGACATCACTGAGCAAAACCGAACTTCTTATCGTCCTTACGGTCGCTTGTTTGACGTTTTTTAGTACCTCGTTTGCCTTCAATCGAATAAAAAATTTACGAATATCAATTTACTCGATAAAGTAACACGTTAGTAATATTTTGTGGAAAGTAAAATTAGTCATCACTTACACAATTTTCGACTTCTTCTGTTATGAATGCATTGGCAAATACGAAAGAAATGACGGGGTCGAAGGAAGGCTCGAACCCACACAATCTCCATCTCGAATATAGAAGGGAGTAATCAATCTACATCCTACTTTTTTATCGATTAATGACCAACCAAAAATACTTGACCATTATCTGAAATACCTGGGAGTGTTTTTAATGGGATCTTCCATAAAATTCTGCATTCCGAAGTAAAAATTTCTTAAATTACTGCTGGTGTACGGAAGAAATTGACTAACGAATCTCCAGTGGAGGTAGTTTACTGAAAAATTAATTTGTAAAGATTTTTTTTTTCCCACTATTACCGAGAAAAATACGAAATATTTTTTTTTTTTTTTT